ACTCCAACGGAGGCGCAGACAGGCGGATGCGAATGGATATCACGATCATAAGCCCACGCCTGCGGTGCGTTTGTTCCTGAATTTGGCAATAAAAATGGTACCTTCCACGGTGCCTACATTTCGAAACCTGGGCAAAAAGAAGGCAAAAACATACAACAGCGCGTGCCATCCGTGCCCACAGGTTGGTGTGGGGCCTGTTATCTCGTGGGAGACAGCTTCAAAGCTTTGAAAAATGATACAGTTAACACATTTGTATTGACGTCTCGCGATGGCAACAACAAGTAAAGACGTACATGCAAAGAACAAAAACATCACATGCAGACGGCACAGTCATTCTTTATCCTTCTCATTGGCTGATGTACTCTTGTACAACCGAATACCCAAGTCATTAAACCTAACTACAATTTGATCCAAAGGCCGTCATCATTTCCATGACGTTCCAGAGTTGTATGATATCCGTAATGGGGCGACATGGGGAGCAGAAGCTTACTTGGACTTGGCAAGACCGACGGCCGAGTTACCAAGGTCGTATACGGAGTACCACTTCCTGAGGAAAGCGTCACCGAGAATAGCAAGAGGTCCTACTGGCTCGGGGAAGTCCATGCCCATAAAGGCAGAGATGCAAGATCCCTGAACCTCGAGGATGTAGTCGAACGCGCTGATGGTGAAGTTGTGGCCGGTAAGAGTGAAGGTGAGGTCGGGCAGACTGTCACGCTTGTCGCACTCAACGGAGTACTGGCCGTTGAAGCCCTTCTTGGCACCAATCTCCTTGTTCAGGAGCTCGGCGATGGTGGAGGGAAGAGCGATCAGAGATGTACCGGTGTCAAGAATGACACCAGTGTTGTCCATCTCAGCAGTCTCCTTGCCGAAGGTGATGGCATCGAGGTCGACCTCCCAGTAGGCCTTGCGCCTGAGGGGAAGCTTGACCATCTTGCCGGTGTAGTGGCTCTCATCGATGCCACCGAAGGTAGCCTCGGACTCCTGGCCCTCGTTGGTGTCGCCGAGGTAGAAGGCGAAGACAGGCTCGTCCAAGAGACCCTGTTCGAGCATGTTGTAGAAGGGAGGGACTATGCCCTTGACACTGATAGTGTCGTAGCCAAGACCCATGATGCCGTCGAACCTGCCGAAGGCGAAAGCGAGACCAGGCTCGGAGGTGGCCTCGGCGAAGTCCTGGTGCTTGACCTTGAGGTCGCCGATCTGGAAGACATCCTGTGAGACGAAGCCGCTGAGCGAGCCGGATCCGTAGCGGATCTCGAACTCGGTGCCGTTCTTCTTGTAGGTTGACGACGCCGAAGAGTCGTACTTGGTGTGAAGGTAGCAGGCAATCGAGTTGCAGCTCTGCGATGGGACCCAGAGGTTGGAGCTTCCCGTGTCGAGAACGACCTTGAAGGTCTGGGGAGGAGTTCCGAGAGAGATCTCAGAGAAGTCTGGCGCTTGTTAGCTTTCGCCACACAATGCTGCGCAGCGCGCGGAGCTTCGGAGACGTACATTGCGCGTTCAAGAAGTTGCTGACGGGCACGGGGTGGGTGCCATCGGCGATGTAGGGCGCCTTGAGCGCAGCCTCCATGTGCGACTGGGCCTTGAGGCCGGTCATGTGCTGCTGGGAGTACTTCTGCTTGAGGCCAGCCATTTGGGTTTCGATGTTGGCAAATTCCTGCTCGCGGTTAGACTGCGATCTCGCGCGTCCGAATGCGACGATGGCTTACCAGCTGGTCAGACAGAGAGACCTTCTTGAGCGGCGTCTTGTAGACAGCCGCAGAGGCCGAAGTGGCTGCTGCGAGGAGCACCGCCGTCTTCATGATTGCGGACGTTTGATGGAGACGGATGGGGTATGGAAGAAGAATGGATGATGGGAGATGGGATGGCGGGTGGAGAGGGAGAGATGGGGGAGTGAGTGGTGTGTTGGGGACGGAGCTCAAGCTGGAGCTATCTATGGGGCTGGGGAAGGCGCGGCGGGCGAATGACGAATGTGACCAGTGCTGCCTGGCCGACAGTGCGACTAGCGTGACACGTTCCCTGTTCGAGGATTGTACCTGCGCCAGGCGCACCGCCATGCCCCAGACAACCAGAACCGAGGTCTGCATAGTGCTATGCCAGCCACTTTTAACCATGGAACTTGGTTGATTAGCTGTCGCACACTTGAGCGACACATCTCACGTGTCTCGTTGCATGCGCAAATCAGGATACCGTGGGCTTCGAGCGCGAAAGCTACCCCGTGATCACGCGCGTCAAGCTTCCATGACCTCAGCACTCGGGCTAGCAAGCTATCGCTCAGGTCCTCAGATGATCCCAAACACAAATGCTGTGCTGTCTTCCAACGCGGTGTATTCCGACCAACTAGATAACACTATCATACAGCGGTGTCTGGCTCGTCCGTGTACTGCGGCGCCTGAGCCAGGTTCGCCTCCTGCTCCCTCCGCGCTCTCTCCAGGTCCGCGGCCCACAACGCCGAGCTTGCTGGTGCCGTCATGAGGAAGAACATGCTAAGCGGCGGTACATACTGCAGCATGAGATAGACTGTGCCGTACCTACACGTACAATGTTAGTGGTGTTCCCATCAGTCCATGAAGACGACCTACCAAGTGTATTGCCACCTCCTCTTCTTAATAGCGAGATTCCTCTGTTTCTTGTCATAGCCCAGAAGCTGAAAGTATCGCCAATGCTGGAACGGGCCCGCGCGATAGCCCGTCAGCAAAAGAAATATCGGCACCCCGACGTATGGTATAAAGTTCACAGGCAGCAAGATGACGAACTCGGCGATCTGGCGGAAGGAGAACGGCGCGTAGACAGAAGAGCGCGTAGGCTTGCCTAGTCGACGGACGGGGTCGTTCAGCGCATCTTCAGTGACGGGTCGGTGTTTGCGAACGAGGTCTTCGTAGCCTTTGTAGATGAGGACGGCGTCGAACACATCGACTTGCGACTCGTCCTAGACAGTGTCAGTACCTGAGTATAACGTGCAGTGTGTGTAGACGTACAACCAAGAAGGACTCGAACAGCAATGCGACTATCGCAGCTCCCTCTCCCAAGACCAGAAATACGGCGTTGACCCACGCACTACCCGCCGTGTGAAATATCTTGAGGAAGAGGACCTGGGGCAGCAACGTCCATACGAAGAGGTTGATAAGCACAAAGAGGCTGAGAAGGACTGCCGGCAGTAGTCGCGCTTTGAGCAGAGGGTACAGGAACGGGTGCGCGAGGAAGAAGACGATGCCCTGTTGCCTGTTAGCACATGCGCGACAACAGCAGAACAACTCCAAATACCTTGACAAGATACGTTGACGCTACGACATTATCCACCGTTGGCCGCACCACTACTCTCGGTATATTCCCCAACGCCGCATGCACTCCTTGCTGTGACATCGTGGTGGTTCTCGTGGTGATACTGAAGTTTGCGTGAAACAGAGACGCGAAGGCAGCTGCGTAAGAAAGACCTCGGAAGTGACGTAGCTACTGAGACCCTGAGCGGTCCCACATCCCCCCACGTTGCACCATCCGCCTTGCCCAACTTGAGCGTTTCCCGTCGGAGGAGACGCGCATGGCATTCGTTGTGGCTTGCAGTAATGCACCGTAGTCTGTATGCATGGACGATGTAGACGCCTGACACGCCCTGCGAACGATCTATGGGTCTTGCGATGTATATAGGACTCGTATCTCCCAAAGTGGAAACCGAGCATCACGTCTTCCATCCGACCCCATTGCAGATGAACAATTGAACCCCATATCCATCAACACATATCCTCCACCCAATCCACCACCCACCATGTTCCACAACCCCACCGCCTCAACCTACAAACACACCACCCCCTCCACCAACCCCTCCGTCGAGCCCTTCCACCGCACCCTCCCCGACTACGCCGTCACCCCCCTAGTCCCCCTTCCACACCTAGCCCAAGACCTCAATCTAGGCCACATCCTCCTAAAAGACGAATCCGCGCGTCTCGGCCTCCCCGCCTTCAAAATCCTCGGCGCATCATGGGCCATCCAAGTCGCCCTAACCAAAAAACTTTCCCTCCCCATCACAGCCACACTACATGAACTGGGTGCGGCAGCGAGGAAAGAAGGAGTGGAGTTGGTGACGTGTACGGAAGGGAATTGGGGCAGGGCTGTAGCGCGAATGGCGAAGTATCTAGGGGTGAAAGCAGTGATTTTCGTGCCTGATTTTATGGATGAGGCGACGGCGGGGAAGATTAGGGGTGAAGGGGCGACAGTGGTGGTTGTGGATGGGGATTACGATTTCTCGATTGAGAAAGCGAGGGAGGAGGCGGATAGGAAGAAAGGGGGGATGTTGGTTATGGATGTGAGTTGGGAGGGGTATGATGAGATTCCTGAGGTAATGTCCATCTCTATGCCACAGTCTATATCTCCTCACTTCTATACAACTGTGGAGGCTAACGTGTAATAGTATGTAGTACAAGGCTACATAACCATGCTCACAGAAACCGACGCTCAACTCAAAGACATGGATATCAAACCCTTAACCCACGCCATCGCCGCCGTAGGCGTAGGTTCCTGGGCACAAGCCGTAACCAGCCACTACAAGTCCTCGTCCCTCGCCCAAACCGCCACTGTCATAACCGTCGAACCTGATACCGCAGCCAGCCTCCTAACAAGCCTGCAAGCCGGCAAAATCACACCCATCTCCACAGGCCATACAATCTGCAACGGCATGAACTGTGGGACGACATCCACAACCGCGTGGGAGGTGTTGAGGAAAGGCGTGGATGTAAGTGTAACGGTAAGAGATATTGATGTACATAATGACTTGCAGTATTTGCATAAGCGGGGAGTGAAGAACGGGCCGTGTGGAGCTGCGACGATGACGGCGTTGAAGAGGGTGTGTGAGGATACAAGGATGAAGGAGACGTTGGGCTTGGATGAGACGTCAGTTGTGGTGTTATTCAGTACGGAGGGGGCCAGAGACTACATCATCCCATCTGGTGCTTGAACTCATAATCCCCATCTCATGAAGATAGTATCATATATCCCATCAGACTATTCCCTCAACCAAGCGTCTTAGTCTTCTCCTTCTTCTCCTTCTGCCTCTCCATAACATTCAACACATCATCCGCATTATTCTTATCCCCCTTCCTCTTCTTGCCACCCCGCTTCCTCACCTTCTTCGGCCCCTTACCCCCTTCTTCACCATCCTCATCGTCCCCTTCGGCACCCAATCCCTTCCACTGACTGAACTTGACTTTCTCGCCTTCCCGCTCCATCTCCTCCGCGTCATCGAATCGAGACGCTCCGAAACCCATGTCCATGTCTTCCATATCGCGATCTGAAGCTGCCAGCTCCGCAGCACGTTTCTTGAGTCGCGCTTCTTTCGATGCGGGGTCGTTGGGGTCGGTGGATCCGAGGTTTTGGAGGAGGGTGGAGTTTTCGTCCAGGTTGCGGACTTTGGCGAGGGCGGCGCGGACGGTGGCGTCGGCGGCGGAGAGGTCGGAGGGTTCTGCTGTGGAGGTCGAGCGGGCTGTGGTTGCGAAGTAGTCTCGTTTGGCGGGCGCGGCGGGCGCGTTGTCTTTGGGTTTCGCTGGAACGTCTTCTTCTGCTTCCGATGATACTTCGCCTTCTGATTGTGAACCCGCGGCATCGAGCTTGGGCACAGAAGGCTCTGTCTTCGAAATCTCTGCCTTCGCTGTCTCTTCGTCCGATTCGTCATCCGAGTCGTCGAAGTTTGCGAGCGGGTTGTAGTTCGACCCAACTCCTGCGAATATATCCTCGTCCTCTGACTCTTCCTTCTTCGGCTCAGGGAGGTTGTGCATATTGATCGGCTTATTCACGTCGTCCAGATCATGGCGTACTTCGGGCGCTGGCTCCTCGACCTTCTGCTTCTTGACCTTTCTCTTCTCCTTGCCATCTGGACCGGTGATGATCAGCACCTCACGGCCCTTCTCGTCTGTCTCGATGCGTGTGTCTCCCTGTGCGTTGATCTTGCGGAAGCCTGGTCCCAGGGTGGGAAACCTCTTTTCGTGCTCGGCCGCCGCGGCTGCTGCTGCCTCTTCTCGTTGCCTCTTGAGATCCTTCAGGATGTCGTTGCGACTCCTCTTGACGCCAGCGACAGGACGTGGGCCAGTCATCTTCTCGCCCTTCTTCTCAGTCTTCTCGCGTGTAATGGGGCCGACATCCGCCTCTGCCAGCTCATCGAACGCGTCTTCCACCTCTGGCACCTCTTCAGCCTCCTCCTCCTCTTTTTCTTCTTCTTCTTCTTCTTTCTTGTCTAGGCCACCCAGAACATCCTCGCCTCGCCTCACTCTCTCGAGCAGCTTCCTATCCAGGCCCTTCACTAAATGCGTGGTCCCGACATCACCGCCCGTAATCTCTTGCACGAGCTTCTCAAACGTCTCGCGATCGATCTCGCCCTTCTTCATAGACTCCTCGAGGTTCTTGACGCGTTTGGCAATCTCATTGTCTTCCTCGTCGGTGTAGGCTTTCGTGCGGTCGGTGTAGCCTGCGGCGAGCCTCGTTCCTTTGGGCACTACATTCCTAGCCTTCTTCTGCGGGTTGTTCTTCGCGTTGCGCTCGGCGAGTTGGCGCGCAAAATCCGACTGTATTGAGCCCTTGCCTACCTGGCGACTGCGTATCTGTTAGCATCAGTCCTGCGCGAGAAACTATAAGAAAGACTTACGGTGTCATTGGTATGCTGGAGTGCTTGCGCGCGCCCAACACCGCCCTCGGCGTTGCCGCTGCAGGCGACTTTCCCTTGCCGTCATCCTGGGGTTTTGGAGTTTCGACTAGCAGCCGCCTGAATTGCGAGTTGTTCATGGTGCGCGAGTTGAGAGGTTGGTGGAGAGTCGTGATGCGCAAAAGATGTGCCAAGCCTCTGCAGGCGTCTCCGGGTCGCGCCTGCACCACGCGAGGCTACGCTAAAGAAGCGTGGCTGGTCTAACGCGGGGAACCTTGAGCGCTCAACACAACTCCAGCCTCGTCTACTACCGGATTGTATTGCGTCAGCACGATCACGATGGTAATTGTATGGATTTCTTGAGGCACGGACAAGGCCTTAATATGCATAGTCTTCGGTACCCTGCCGCTTCGGCTCTAGCTGGCTGTCTGTAAGGTTGCAGCGCGATCTTGCTTATGCAGGATCACAAGACTACTGTAGGGAAATGCTACCTGTTTCCCTGTACGAGAGTTACGCTATGCCGCCACAGTAAAACGATCGTGCGTAGCCCGAAAGGTTCTGTATCTTCCCCATTTCACTTGCTAGGCACCCTGCGATCCCCACCACCCCGCTTCCTCTCCGCATAAGTACCTGAACAGCCGGGTAAATTGTTGAACTCACCTCCTACGCCTCCCTTCCCCGGTATCTGTGAAATTGTAACGGCAACATGTTCAAGCTTCTGGTTGCTGCGGCTCTTGCTGCGGTGGGCGCGTCCCAGTACGCCATGCCCAACGCGACCAATTCGACTACATTCATGAACCCGATTGTGGGCGCTGGAGCAGACCCGTAAGTCAATCCTCCAAATTATGCTACCATCCGTCTGAACATCATCTAGCTGGATGTTCCGCCACGAGGACTACTACTACATGACCTACACCAACAACGTCAACATCACCCTCTGGCGCAGCAAGTCCCTGACCTCCTGGGACGCCGCAGAGTCCAAGACCATTTTCGTCCCCGAGCCCGACCAGGCCTACTCCACCGATCTCTGGGCGCCCGAAATCCACCAAATCGACGGAAGCTGGTGGGTAATCTTCACCGCAGACCCCAACTTCGACTCCCCACCACCCGAGGTGGAGATGTGGTGCGAGTACAACTGCCCCGCCGTCAACCACCGCATGTTCACCGTCGTCGGCGAAGGCGAAGACCCCTGGACAGCCGAGTACCGCTACCACAACGAACTCGAGACGTACGATCAATTCGCCATCGACGGAACTTACTTCCAGCACGCCGACCAACTGTACCACATCTACTCGTGCTGGTACCACAAGTACGACGGCTGGCCAGCCAACCTCTGCATCACCAAGATGTCCGACCCTTCCACCACCGTCTCCCCCTTCTCCGAACGCCAAATCATTTCCGTACCTGAATACGCCTGGGAAAAGACGCCCTTCGGCCGCTCCATCAACGACCGCCTCTCCTCCAACGAAGGCCCCCAACAACTCACCAACCCCACCACCGGCCAAAACTTCATCATCTACAGCGCCGCCCGCTCAGACAACCGCAACTACTGTCTCGGTCAGCTCGAGCTCGTTGGCGACGACCCCATGAACCCTAGCGACTGGCGCAAGCATCCTTACCCCGTCTTCTATCAGAACCCTAGCGAGAAGGCGTACGGTGTTGGTCACGCGTCTTTTACGACGTCGCCTGATGGATCCGAGGATTGGATCGTTTACCATGGTATGCAGGATCCGACGAATGGGTGGAGTGCGAGGTCGATTCGCGCGCAGAAGTTTGGCTGGAATGAGGATGGGAGTCCGGACTTTCCTAAGCCGGGGTATGGGCCGTATCAGGTTCCTAGTGGGCAGTAGAAAGGTCATTGATGTGGTGTCTGGGTTTGCAGGATGATGGCGGGGCTGTAATGTTTCTCCTGCTCTGCGGCTGGTGTTGCCTACATCTTCTGGACGGCGGCGACCGGCTGTGTTGGTAGGCTCATGAAGAGAGCCGCTTCTGTCCTGTCTCTTGCATACAGATCTTGGATAATACTTAGGCATCTGGACCTCCCCGGGTATATGTTGCCAGCTTAATGATAACGATCATGATGAACTTGACCGACCATCGTTGAGACTCTGTCTCGTGTGTGATACCCTGCGTCGTGGATATGATGATGGTGATGAATGCTGATGTTCTTACCAATTCCAACGAATCCTCTGTTCTTTATGTGACTTGATGGCATACCGTAGATATGCGTGCCTTGCGTACACGTTCGGCGAGCGCGGCTTCCACCAAGCATGCTCACCACCCGGAAGTATTGCGCAACCCACCACATCGCTCGGAAAGATGCAGAAACCACATATTCCGTGATTTCTGAAGCTTTGAAACATATCATGATGTTCCGATATCATTTCATGACATCCGATTTTGAGTTGTTGTGTGTATGATTCAGATTGTGTGGAAAGCCTGTTGACACGTTTTTGCTATTTAGGACTCAACACCTAACATGTTCAAAAAATCACAACTCAACCACATCTTGCTCAAACCACCTCAAACTTGGCAGATCGACTGAGATGACACGTGCGAGCACTTCACGAGAGTTTGAAATCATTTGGGCATCATCGTGGAAGTCTACGCGTTGGAGGTCTGCGGAAGCGTCTTTCCGGAGCAGTCAAACTACGCGTATATTCACAACCACACGACGCGCTTTGGATGCGCAGCGCGATATGGATGCAAAAACGCAGTCACACGCATATCATGATTTCAAAATGCTACATATCATCTACATACAGAACCCCGCGTTGCATGGCCGTTCGCATGGAAGACGTGACGTCATACGTCCAACAGCCAAACTTCACAGCCGTCTTCACGCAGGTGGCAGTAAGCGCAAGCTATGAGTCATGTTACGACCGGTCAAGCGGCACAGTCAATGAGTCACGAAACGTCCTGTTCATCGTGAACGCGAACGAGATGAAAGTCGGTCTGGCAAACTGTACATGGCACTAGTTGACATGCACACTAGCATGACAAAAGGCGGAACAGCACACCGCGGAAGTGGAGCACACCAGTAATGACCACCGCGTTCACACAAAGTTCGCAGACGCGTCGCACATCACAGCAAAAGACAAGTTGATGAAGTTATTATGGTATCATTCCATGCAAATCAGAACCCGACTGATATAACCGTGAACTCCGAGCCTTCTTATACTATACAAGGCCATGACCATCCCACCAAGCACCGAAGAGGCGACCGTAGACTGCTGAAGAAGCCAGCCGGACAAAAGTCGTAACATTGAAAACCGTAAGAGCGAGAAGAAGACGACGCGCTTAACCACCGAAACCGTACAGAGTGCGGCCTTGACGCTTGAGAGCGTAGACAACGTCGAGGGAAGTGACGGTCTTGCGCTTGGCGTGCTCGGTGTATGTGACGGCGTCACGGATGACACCCTCGAGGAAGGTCTTGAGAACACCGCGGGTCTCCTCGTAGATCACTAAGATGGGTTAGCGAGGTAGGCGAGGAAGGTGTGCAGGAGACATACTGGCTGAGATACGCTTGACACCGCCACGACGTGCGAGACGACGGATAGCGGGCTTGGTGATACCCTGGATGTTGTCGCGGAGAATCTTGCGGTGGCGCTTGGCACCACCCTTTCCGAGACCCTTGCCACCTTTGCCGCCTGGGAGACGCGTCAGTAAAGTGTTGATGGTGAAGGACGACGCGTTGAGCGCGCCGAAGTGTGGAGGTGGGAATACTCACGACCAGTCATGATGATAGATGTGGGGGGTTGTTGTGTTGGGGAGGTGGAGTTGTTGGTTGTAGAGTGAGAGAGTGGTAGTAGTGGATTGGATGCTTTGGTGATGATGGGAATTAGTTGGGGCGGCGGGCGTCGTGTTTATGAGGCAGCGGGGCGCGTCGTCTTGCGCGCCGGATCACACGCCAGCCACGCCAGATCAAAGCCGCGCACGGGCGCGCTTTCCAGATCAACGCCCGTGCCCCTTCCCAATCGGGGCGCGCAGCAAGCGAGCCAATGGGGAATGGGCGCCGCGGTGTGGACTTGGTGGTTTTGAAGTTGCAGCGCGCGCAGGTTAGCATGCTTAGCATGGCTTTGGTGTTCCTGGTGCGCGCTGTGAGGGAGCGCAACAAAGATTGATTTTCCAGGCAGCCGCCCGCCCCCCATTTACCATATAAGCTGCGCCCGCCCACCCTCCTCCATCCCTCATCCACTCAACTCCACTCACCATCACAACAACCATCTACCACATCCACATCCCCATCTCCATCCCACTACAACAACATGGCCCGCACTAAGCAGACCGCCCGCAAGTAAGCTTCGCCTCTTCAACATCACAATAACTATCTTACTAACAATCTCTCAGGTCCACTGGTGGCAAAGCCCCCCGCAAGCAGTTAGTCTAGCCTCAGCTCTACTTCGCACCTCGTCGCAGCATACTAACTTCACTTCAAGGCTCGCATCCAAGGCAGCTCGCAAGTCCGCACCGGTTAGTACCATCCTCACTTACCTTTGCGATACATACTAATATCGTTAGTCAACCGGTGGTGTCAAGAAGCCTCACCGCTACAAGCCCGGAACCGTCGCCCTCCGTGAGATCCGTCGCTACCAGAAGTCGACTGAGCTCCTCATCCGCAAGCTGCCCTTCCAGCGTCTTGTCCGTGAGATCGCCCAGGACTTCAAGTCGGATCTCCGCTTCCAGTCCTCTGCCATCGGCGCTCTCCAGGAGTCCGTCGAGGCCTACCTCGTCTCGCTCTTCGAGGACACCAACCTCTGCGCCATCCACGCCAAGCGTGTCACCATCCAGAGCAAGGACATCCAGCTCGCCCGCCGCCTCCGTGGTGAGCGCGGTTAAGCTTCTCACCTTCGATATATCGACACGACTATGACAACTTCTTCGGGTCGGTGATGGATTGGGTCTTTGGGTCGGATATTTAGGCGTTTGGGTTCATGGTTCACGGTCTTCAACTCGGTTTATGAGTGCACACGAGCGGTGCTGAGCATGTAGTATATCCAGGTTAATCAGTGATGGTCACTGGCGATATTCCACGAAATCAACAGATTTCTACTTCATTCTATCTTCGTCTATGATTGTGATGTTTGCTTTGACTTTCAGGGTGTCGCCAACTCTTCTTCGCTCCGCTCTTTGGTGTTTGTGTCACTGCGCTATCTCTGCTGGCCGCAAATAGTCGCGATGCGGCACTCACCCCGCAACATGACGCCCATCGCGGCTACTAACTCGACCATCACGACCAGCACCTCGGCGAACGGTACACTAACAACTGAGACTACTACAATGTCTTCCCGTGAAGGCTGCGCGATTGCGCATCTTCATCCAACACATACCTCCTCCTGATGACCTGGCAAACCGAATTCTGGTCATGGATGTCGCCACCCACAGTGCAGACCGCTGAAGTCCCAGCCGTCGGCCAAAAGGCGCCCTCCACGCCCAAACTCGCCATACCAGCACAGGATGGCAAGCCAACAATCATCACCTTCCTCCGACACTGCGGATGTCCTTGTATGTACATTATTCAAAAACCATGACGATGCAACCTCACCAACACCACGCACAGTCGCAGAAAAAACCTTCCTAAACATGCGCGCCCTCGCGCCCGCTCACCCAGACATCCATTTCATAGCCGTTTCGCACAGCGACCGAGCGGCTACGGACCGCTGGCTTGCATCGTTGCCTGAACCGGAGAAGAACACGCAACCTAACCTCAGCATCGTTGTTGATGCAGAACGCGAAGCATATGCCGCGTGGGGCTTAGGCACGTCCAGTTTGTGGCATGTGCTAGGTAGTGTACCTGGTACGAGCAAGTTGAGCAAAGAGGGGATTAGTGTGAGGCCGACGGAGAGTGGGAGTCGGTGGCAGACGGCGGGCAATTTTGGGGTTGGTGCGCAGGGGATTGTGAGATGGAGTAGGGTTGATGGGAGGGCGGATGATATGCCGGATTTTAAGGAGGGGGTGGATAAGGTGATGGGGGGCAAGTTCGAGACGGGGGGTTTTGCTGAGGCTATGCAGGGTTGATGGGGGGGTGTGGTTGGCATGATGTGGTTGTGTAGATTGTATGTGATAGTTGTGGTTGGTAGCACGGTTGTACGGTTTTCGCGTTTTGCGTTGTGAAGACGCGGTATGTGTCGCATGTGAGGTACGAGATAAGTGTGAAGCACAACGCGTTCTTGCATCCTTTTCGCGACCATGTGAAGAGTGCACGCTCTATGGACATGATAAGACACCTGACTCCTTCTTGTAACACACAATTCTAACTTTCCTGACTATGGTGATCAAAGACAACCCCTCGATTGGCCCGCCCACCGATGACCTCACGATAACACGCGAAAACGCGCCAACACTCGAAGCGCGTCAAAGTGTCGCCACGCACACAACAGACCCGCCGCGGCCGGATCATGGCATCATGGCTGCACCGTCCACACGGCTGACGACTCGCGCGAGCGAGTATGGTTCAGATATCGACATCCAGTCCATCGCGACGCTGAGCGACTACGGCTCGGACATTGACATTGACGACGACACCATACTCGCCGACGCCTTTGACACGATAACCGACGCTGCGCAAACCCAGAAGAGCGCAGTCCTCCCCAGCATAGAATTCGAAGAGGGCGAACTCGAAGACGAAGAGCAGGATGTGGACGGCTTCGTGCAGATTCATAGACCCACGGTCCTGCGCGTTGCAAAAGGCAAGGCCAGTGTCGACGCGGATGCGCAGAGGGATGTACAGAGCTCGCCCATGCGCGAGCGCAAGGCGCTGGAAGTCGAGTACGACGAACGATCGCGACGGGCGTGGAGTGGTGCGTTGATCCAGACTCGCAGCAGTGGCAGTGGCATGACTGACGACTAACAGCGCTTAGTTCCTCACGAACAATCAGCCTCTCCTCCCAGACCCTCGCAATTACGATCTGATCGCAGCATAGCACAATCTACGCGCGCCGCATCTACCACGCAGGCCGTACAGGCTGCCAAAACCGATAACCGGCCGCCCATCGAGCGGTTCCGAACGAAGCCCAAGAAATGTCTTTCGGTGACTGATCTTGTCTCACCAGCATGGTGCGAACTGCAGTACTTTTACACGTTGAGCAAGTTTGGGCGCAAACCTCGAACACAGGCGATGAAGACCGGTAGCAAGATACACCAAACGCTGGAAGACCAGGTACACACAACAGTGCCAGTGCAGGTAGAAAGTAAAGAAGACCGATTTGGACTACGCATGTGGAATGCTATATCAGGCCTGCGGTGTCTCCGCGAGACGGGCCTTACGCGTGAACTAGAAGTCTGGGGCGTGCTCGAAGGCCAGGTCATCAACGGCGTCATCGACGAGGTCTCCTACGAATGTCCCGACTCAGAATTCGAAGAGGAACTCGAGCGAACCCGCGCCGAGAAAAACGGCGGCATCGTCCCCTTACCACCAGGCCAACTCAGCATCACAGACGCCTTTGCAAAGGCCAGCAAACCGCCCTCCTCCAGCCCATTAGTCTCCACATCCCCCTCCGACCGCCAAATCTACATCGCAGACGTAAAAACACGATCCGCGAAATCCCTCCCAACAGGCGCGTCTCTCCGCCCTACCTGGATGCAACTAATGCTCTACCGCAAACTCCTCGAGTCCCTCTCCCTCAACACCGTCGACGCCGAAACCGTCTTCGCCCGCTACTCCCTCGACCCCCTCACCCCCTTCACCCCGCTCTTCCTTTCCGAAATCAGCAACCTCGGCCCCGAGAACGCCGCCACCTCCTACCCCAACCTACTCGCCCTCTGGTCCCTGCTCGTCACCGAAATGCAAGCCACATTCCCTCCTTCCAGCCTCTCCCCCATCCTGCGCGCGGAGTTCAGGTATGCGAAGACGGGGGATGTGTTGGGCAGCCGGCTTACGGTGTATGAAGCGAGTGTTGTGGATGGGTATGTGGAGAGTGAGATGGATTGGTGGAAGGGGAGGAGGGAGGCCAAGGGCGTGGAGATTGAAGAGGCGTTTAAGTGTCGGATTTGTGATTTTAGTGAGGGGTGTAGTTGGCGGAAGACGAAGGTTGAGGAGGCGGTGGAGAAGAGTCGGTTGAGGAGGGAGGCCGAGGCGAAGGAGAGGGGGAGGAGTGCTGTGTAGGGTGTGATTGTGGATATTGACGGCTGAGCTATCACCGCATTCAAGAAATAAACAGAACAGGTGCCTTGCAGGTTATATCATTATCGTCAATCCGAATGTTCATCAAGACTTTCATGCAACTGAGGCTTTTGGATAAGTTTCATACCTAAAATCCTTTCCAAATGGATGTTCGTTTTGCTGCGAACAAGGTGTTACAATCAATCTATCACATGCTGCTGTTTATCATCATATACCAACGTGCTATTTCCTATTTCCTATATTTGATATTCTTACATTTTCCTCTATTGCTACATTAGTGTCGATGTAGAGTTTGCTAGTCTCCTGAAGAAGGGATTGTCTCATTGCCTATGTGTTAGCAACATTATCTCACACAAGTATCCCGCGTTGATTAACAGGTGTCTGGACGAACGCAACGATGCAGGTATACTGGCGTCGTCACCGATTACGTAGCTTCGACACCAACATTCGTTGAAGTAGTATAACCGTGACAATGAAACGCTGTCGTATGCTGCACTGTTTTCCCCAGTCTTTCGCAGCGCCCAACCCCGCAATCTACTTGAGAATACCCACTCACTCCATCTGCGTAGGGAGCGACACCACTCTCTTAGCCTCCGTAACCCCTTCCGTATCAACCTTAACACCCAACTTCTCCGCCACAGTAACAAACCCTCTACTCCCCTCCTTCGCATCAATCCACACATCAACCCACCCCTCTCTCCTCGCCTCCCCAGCCACCTCCTCACTCCAATCCTCCTCCTGCGCCCTCTCCACATACACAGTCCTCAACCCACACCCCTTCGCCGCCTTGAGATCATTCAAATGACTCGCCACCATGGCACATTCCTCCGGCCTGAGCCCCAATTTCTCCGCCGCGCCCAGGTAAACTTTCGGACTGGGTTTATACGTGCCGAACATCTCGGCGGAGAAGATGTGCGTGAAGGGTATCTGGCTGTACGCGCGTAGATCGGAGAGCAGAGATAAGTTCCCGTTTGACAGCATACATGTGTGGAAACCACCGCGGTTCAACAATGTCATACCAGCGACGGAGTCGGACCAGGGGTCTAACTGGTGCCATATCAGACTCAACGCGCGGATCTCTTCGTCGTCCCATAGACCCTCTAATTCCCATTCTGCAATGAGTTTCTGGAGTGCACTTAGATGGTGGTCGTCGACAGATACCCATGGTATGGATGGGTCAGATGCGAGTTGTTTTGTAAAAGCCTTGTAGCTGTTTCGCCATTGCTGTGCGAATTGGCCCCAGTGCTCGTCGCTCATTTCAGAGGCTCGCAGGCGCAGACGCGAGGCTAGCGATGCGGTGGCGGAGTTTAGGGCGGAGTGGGCGGATTGTGATAGCGCGGTTGTGACGGTGGAGCGCCAGTTTACGCAGGTGCCGAAGATGTCGAAGAGGAGGGCTTTGGGCAACGGGGAGAGAGACATGGTGTGTGGTTTGATTGGTGCTAAGGTGGTTGGTGGTAGTGGGTGTGATGGGTTGGCGAGGTGGAAAGTTTATTTTGGCTGATGGTGTCGTTGGTGGTGGTGGTGGTGGTGGTGGTGGTGTTTATGTATGTACGTCACCGGGAGGATTGCCCGGAAATAGATGGTTTCTCGGATATGTGCCATGGGAAGAATCCCACGGGCGTAACGGAGATCGTACAAAACGTTGTATTCGTAATGCCATACTCACATCACGACACTTTGATGATCATGGGGTGCGCACTTTCCATGTGGCAGTCGCGTGGAAGAGACGTCATAGCTCTGACCTCGGGATCTCTCCAGTGCTAGCTCACCAGCCACTTCCGTTGCAACACCGTCCGCCTGGAAGACTACCATCTCCTGCATTTCAAGCGCTTTTCACAAAAGAACACAAATCGACACAAATCAGATCCAGAGCTAGCCGGATATCATGCATAAAGCACCTCTAGAAGCCTGCCAAGCAGACGTCATCCCCAACCGTGTTAGCACCCCACACTAGCGCTTTGCGGGGGAACTTGGGGTAGGCCGAGCCCAGCTCCTTCCGAGGTCAGCGTCGTCGGTCCCCTTGGACCGATCGGCAACGTTCTAAAACATCAGTGCTCATGACGCCCATATGCTTTCCCGGAAGAGCTACTCGTGCTTGACCGCATTCACTATCCTCAGGTCCGGCATACCGCTTACTTCTTGCTCGGCTCACAGCCCCATTGCCCGCGCTAGCTTCGTTGTTAGATCTAGCAGACTACTTGCGATTTCTGCTTCACGAAACCAATCCATATCTGAGACACGGACGGACATTATGCCTCAGGGACATATTCAAGACAAGGTCTATGCGGCCTCCATCGACAATCCCGAGGAGTTCTGGCAGCGTCAGGCGAATAACTTATACTGGCACAAGAAGCCTTCCAAGGCGTTCCAGAGGAGCACCAAACACTTGAAGAAGAGCAATGTCTCACATGAGCACTGGGAGTGGTTTGCCGATGGCGAGATCTCGACGACGTACAATTGTGTGGACCGCCATGTGGGAAACGGCAATGGCGATAAAGTAGCTATTTGCTGGGACAGTCCGGTAACCGGCCAGAAAGAGCAGTACACATACCAGCAGTTGCTACAAGAAGTTGAGACACTGGCGGGTGTGTTGAGAGAAGAGGGAGTCAAGAAAGGCGATGTCGTGTTGATCTACATGCCGATGATACCGGCTGCGCTCTTTGCTATGCTGGCTATTGCCCGGCTAGGAGCTATACACGCGGTTGTGTTTGGTGGGTTCTCGCCCGCAGCATTGGCGCAGCGGATCGAAGCCAGCCGCCCTGTCGCAATCATGACCGCCTCTTGCGGAATTGAGGGAGCGAAGAAACCCACTGAGTACAAGTCGATGATCGAGGGAGCAGTCCACAAGAGCAGCTTCAAGCCATCCAAGATAATCGTCTGGCAGAGAGATCAACTTCGATGGGATCCGATAGCCAAAGAGGAGGGTCAAAGGAACTGGCAACGACTTGTCAAGAGCGCGAAGAACAGGGGGTTAAAGGCCGATGCTGTGCCCGTTAAGAGCGGTGATGGACTGTACATCATCTACACGTCGGGTACCACTGGGCTTCCAAAGGGCGTTGTCCGCTCTGCAGGCGGTCATGCTGTTGGGCTGAATTTCAGCATCAAGTACCTGTTCGGAGTCCATGGCCCCGGCGACGTCATGTTCACTGCGAGTGACATCGGCTGGGTCGTTGGACATTCTTACATCGTCTACGCTCCGCTGCTGGCTGGCGCCACTACGGTTCTGTTCGAGGGCAAACCTGTTGGAACCCCCGATGCAAGCACTTTCTGGCGCGTCATTGAAGAGTACAAGGTGACGACCATGTTCACCGCTCCCACAGCTTTACGAGCGATCCGTAGGGATGACGGCGATAACGAATTCTTTGAGGCGAGAGGGAGAAAGGGTGCGTTGAAGACACTGAGGGCACTGTTCCTGGCAGGGGAAAGAAGCGAACCGAGCATCATTCAGATGTACCAAAAGCTACTCGCGAAGCACTGCGCTCCTGGTGCAATGGTCGTAGACAACTGGTGGTCTTCTGAATCAGGCTCACCCATCTCTGGAATCGCACTCAGCGCCTCTGCCGGACTGGACTTTTCTTCTCAAGAACGACCCGCGCCGCTTCCTGTCAAGCCTGGCTCGGCTGGAAAGGCGATGCCTGGGTTCGATGTTCGCGTTGTGGATGACGCGGGTAAAGAGGTGAAGAGAGGCGAGATGGGCAACATTGTCATGGCGATACCACTTGCTCCAACTGCCTTCACCACGCTGTGGGAGGACGAAGAACGCTTCTACAAGGGCTACATGAAGAGATTTGATGGGAAGTGGATTGACACTGGCGATGCCGGCATGATTGACGAGGAGGGCTACATCTCTATCATGGCACGCGCGGATGATGTGATTAACGTTGCAGCACACCGCTTCAGTACCGGTAAGTGCTCTACTCATGCAATTAATAGCGAGCTCGAACTGACAATATCCAGGCGCCATCGAGCAAGCCATAACAACCCATCCTTCCATCGCCGAAGCAGCCGTCGTCGGCATCCCCGACGCATTGAAAGGCCACCTCCCCTTCGCCTTCATCACACTATCCACAAACAACCATTCCTCCTCCGCCGTGGCAGACGACAAGCTCCTCGCCGAAGTCCAACGCCTAGTACGCGAACAGATTGGTGCCATTGCCAGCCTCGGAGGCATCATCCAGGGCAAGGGCATGATCCCGAAGACGAGGAGCGGCAAGACGCTGAGGAGAGTGCTGCGCGAGCTACTGGAGAACGCGACGCATGGGGAGTTTGACAAGGAGGTTAGCGTTCCGAGCACGATTGAGGACCGCGAGGCTGTTAATGTTGCGCGGGAGAAGGTAAGGGAGTACTTTGAGGTCAAGGGCAAGGATTTGCACAAGGCTACGGAAGCGCGGGCGAAGTTGTAGATGTGATGGGATGGGTGGTGATAACGTGTAGGGTTTAACAGATTCTTCCATTGTACCTTCCTATACTTGGTCAAGATTCTTCATCGTGCCTTCTGTTTGGTCGAGATTCTCGCATCGTGCCTGCCTATGTTTAGTTAAGATTCCCCCCGTGCCTTCCTTCCATGTTCGGTGCCTTCCTCAATTGCCGCTCACTTCGCTTGTCGCGTATATGCCAACCTTGCTGCATTATCTTATCAGTTCGTTATATAGAGCGTTTGTAATGACGTTCGTTGTGCGATCCAACGGCAGCTCGTATTCGCAGCCTCGCCGCCGGATGAATCAACGGAGTCGCAGCGGGCCGTCCCCAGGAATCGTTAGAATCGTTAGAATCGTTGTCACACGAAGCAACGGTTCAACGCTCGACGCCAAACGCCCCAGCGCTCAACGCCGCGTCACTACTTATCACCAACAGGTACTCGAGGTCCAACTCAAGCAGGGCAAAAAGGGTTCCGGCTCCGTCACAGCGCATGTTGGTGGCCCCACCTAAACACGTGCTTGCACGTTGCTGCGAGCCATGGCCCAGGCGCTGGACTGGGCTCCGGGCTGACCTACATGACGCTCGTGCTGAGCTACCATGTTCCCGCCCACCTGGGAGCTTGACACTTCATCAGCGCACATATCAAGGCATTCCCTGGGTCGCTCATCTAGTCAGTGACCTCGGAGCCTCGTCACAGTCGCGCTGGCACTGGCTAGTCGGGCGTCTGGTCAGGCTATGCCTCGCGCCGGTCGTCTACGCGTCGTCTACAGCTGTGTACAAGCTTTCTTACCGGCAGAAGTCGTCGCAGCCAGGCGTCTGACATGAGATAGCAGGCCGCCGCCCGCATTCATGGCCAGAGGCGTGCCGGCGACGACGTCTGTTGGTGCAGTGCTCCCGTCGGCTCGGCAGAATATCAGGAGCGCAACAGTGGGCCAAGCGACTATCGGCTACACGCTGTCGCGGCTTGGGGTCCAGTTCCCCGAAGCACCATGCCTCGCAGCCCACGCCGGACGACGACTGAAACCCTGGCGCAAAAGTGGCCGACCTGTCCTGCAATGTCGAAACAGCATTCACATGTTGGAGTCGTTGGAGTCATGGAGTTGGCCGCCCTTGGTGAGCGAGCCCTCGACTCCTTGGTGTGGCTGGAGCCGGGAGTCAGCGTGCTGGTGGGCAGGCCGCTCGGCGGCTTTCTTGTTCCTACAGAGTCGAGGGTGCATGTGTAGTGCCTCTCTCCCCAATGGCACCCCCAAGGGGGCCCCCGTTTGCAGCCCTAGCATGTCCTAGGGCCTGCCGCCTGCGCTTGCGCACTGAGACGACGGCAGCTCTTCTGGCCGTTTGGTCGTGACGGCACCACCTTGGGACGTGACGGGCGCACACAGTGAGACCAGGCTTCCACGACCTGGGGCGGCACGGCGTCGTCGGCTTATATGGGCACGCAGCAGCCAGCCACGGGGCCGGGTCGGCGAGGCGGTCCTGAGTGCTTCTGGCTGCAGGCCCTTGGCTGTTTCTCGTCTGCATGGCTTGGATAGGACTAGGCGGATTGACGTTTGGCAGCCCCCAGTGCTGCAGCGCCGTCGCCCAAGGCCCAAGGTGCCAACTCGACGCAGAAGCGTAAAAACCCCGGAGGCCCATGTCGACTAATCGCGTTTCTTTTTGACCTCCCTCATCCATCACGCCGCTATCGTTGCCCCCGTCCTCCGTGCTGCCTGCCCATCCCACGTCGCCCGCGCTCATGCAACGGAGCCCCGATAGTAGACGCTGCTGCTGATAGGTGATGCCCCGGACTCGGACGCTTGCACCCTAGAAGCCCTGATCGCTTTGTCCATCGCCCGCTTCCAAATCCACATCTTCACGTGGGGACACGAGCCACTCCCAGAGAACCCTGACCACGTCAAGACGCCTCGCCCAACTTTCTCCCATCCCCTCGACCACCACCGGACCACCTCCCAACTCGACTTGCTCCAACGCGCATCTGCTCCCCGCTCGCGTCTGCCGCCCCT